TATGCATTCCCATAAGATTACATATTGAAAATAAATGATATAAATCAGGTGGGGAAGATAACAAGCTGATGGAAGAGCAGTCAGAGAAGGAAGACAGGGTAAAACTGAAGTAATAGAGTAATTAAGAATGACTAAATGCAAAATATATCAGAGAAATTTCTTTACAGAAACTTAAGTGAGTTGAGTAACTTCTTGTAGATGATACAGAAGTAAGAACACAAGCGGGATCTGAACAAAGAAGCAGACAGGAGCCTTATAAGATTGCTATTTGTAATTTAGAGTAAAGTTTATTCCACTAACAATATTGCTTGTGTAACGGATCAAAATATGTGTTCAATATTTTCAAAAGTTAGCAAGCGAATACGCAATTTTAAAATTAAATTTGACAGCTACATACATGCACTTTGGTGTCCTTTCATATGAAAAGATTAACATCACTTTGCTGAGAGTGAAATGTGAATTATGTGCAAGGTAAATTATGCTCCTTGGAAACAAGCCACGACTATTCAGCTTGTACAGCAGGTTGTGATTGATACAGTGAGGTGACATTATCACCTTTTTCCTTCCTCTGCTTCGAGCAGCTGAGCAGAAAAGACATTCTTGATTTCCTGGGAGAGGATTAGTAAGTAGGAATCTCTAGAAGGTCTGTGCTTTGGCTGAAGCTGGGACAGGGAAGACAACCTTTCTGCACTACAAAGGCTCTTCTCTGATCATAAAGATTTTTCAAAGGTGTCTCTCTCCGTAACTCACAGCGAAGCAGCCACAGGTGCAACACTGTTGGTAGTGGGGTGGGACAAGCTCCCACAGCAGGTGACTTCTGAGAGAGCATCTCACGGAAATGCACCTGCCCAGGTCTGAAAGACTGCTGTCGATGTCCAGGTCACAGCACAAATGGTACCAGAAACACCTCTGGGGAAAGAGGGACAGGCTGATTGTGCGGGGAAAAAAATGGTGTTTAGGGGCCAGCAGAAATTGGCAGGACACCCAGAAGCCTGGATGAAGTCAGGACATGCTGGGTATGGCTGGAAAGAGCCACTGATGGCAGGGAGCCAGGGAGAAAAATGCCTCCTACTCCTTGGGTTAAAAAAGTTATTTTAATTACATAGGTCCTCTTCTGTTGGAATAAGTGTGTTTTTTTTTTTTTCAGAATGCCATTGCAGGACCTATTGCAAATATGTATTATGATGTTCTGCACATTTTAAAGATGGATTTAGAGCAGTAAGAAACATTTCTAATAGTCCATAAACTATTAACACTGTTGACTGCTCCTAATATGTTGTTGCTCTGTTTCGTTGTTTCTTTTTACTTTCTCACACTGCTGTCTTTCCACCACAGCACACTACACCACCTCTGACACACTGACATGACATTTTTCAGCAAATTCCCCTTTCTACTCCATTCTTTTCCTTTGTAAAGATAAGAGCAAAGCAAATCCCAAACTATAAATAAAAACGTGGACCATATAATTATGTTCTTAATGTCATTTCCTTTCATACAGGAATAAAATCCTGGACTTAGAGGCAGCTATCTGAAACATGAAACGTAGCAGTAGTTCTACAGAGCTCAAGAATATTACCATAATGATACCTTTAGGACAAAGTGAAAGAAAATCTTGCATTTAATAGAAATTGCTAGGATAATGCAATTACTTGTAATGAATGAATGGAATTTTTATTTCTTGGTGTCAAGACTTGGAACATTCTTCCTTCCTTGTGGTAACTTCAGTTTTTTAATATGAAAAGTTGAATAGGACATGAACTGGTTGAAGGAGGACAGTTTCAGAAGCAGTACTGGCTAATTTATTTGGGGACACTGGGTCAGAACTGACTCAAAGGGATATTTTCCACCATAGGAATAACCTAACGGCATGGTTCTGAGCACTTCAGGTTCTTTATTGTCCACAAATTGGACTATTATACTATTTTAGATTAGGGTTTGAGACACCATATACTCCTAAGTACTGGTCTCAGGCCTTCATTACAAAGGGACCAAAATTTTACCACAGTAAGTCAGCCTTACAAAATGTCTTTGATAAAATACCAACAAAGAATGATATAGCATCTTGGCCCCACATTTTGACTACAATCAGTTGAAGTCACTCAGAACTATCACTGACCTTAATGGTAGCTTAAAGATACTATTTTACATAAGAGGTACCAGGTATCAGTCAAACTTTGAGACTTCACAAAGTTATTTATGTGGCATATGGTGTTGATGCTGGCAGATACTTTTCCAACAAGTATTTGTACATTAATTTCTGCGGGTCACTGCGGATTGCTGGAAGAGGGACGAGCTTGCATCTAACTTCACATACTAGTTGTACCTACTAAAAGAAGCCACAGAAAACTCCTGCTATTTGTACCTGAGCCTCCCCAGCAGGTATGAGAGACCTACAGACCATATTGGCAGTGATGAAACACAACAAGACCAACCTTTGTCAATAGAAGTTGCTGCAGTGGGAAATCACAGCTCCAAAAGCAGCAGTCTGAAAATGAATTCTCACCTATTTATAGAAAACCCCCAAACAACCAAACCATACTAAATAGTCTCATTGGTGAGAAGTGGATACATTGGCATCCTTCTTAAATATTATTGGTGCTCAGTTAAATGTATCCTCCCTAATCATGTTAGCACTTCTTAACATTCAAGAGGATTAATTTTTTCCCACTGAGACTTGTGAAGCATTATCTACAGAAGATCATATTAGAAGGGACAGGCCTGAATTTAATGCACCGGATTTGAAGTCATTTACAAAACTCATTAAAATTCCAAAGATGCAAAATGGGTATTCTGTGATGGGCTTCTGCGAATCTGGAGAACTGATTCCCACCCCCCATGGGAATACTTTAAGCACAAAGGAAATTCTGCAGTAAGAAACAGAAAAGCTCCATGACCTAAATGAAAAACCTGCTTTGTAAATTGAAATATATCATCAATTTGTGTTTTTCAACTGAAGTTCCTTAAATACAATCCAAGTGAGTATGGGAAAGCAGAAGAGACAGCTACATTTTATTTGCTGTTGCAGTTGTATGCATGGGAATCCCAACTGGAGAAGTAACTTTAAACAACTGTGGTGACAGCAAGGCAGGATTAAGGCAATTATGTGAAAGGACAGAAAAATAATTTTTTTCTCTTCTCCAGGACAACATATGCAATTCCTTTTTCTCACGATTTTTCACAATGCTTTCTTTACTGTGTAACCCATAAATGTTGCTCATGGACTAGCAAAGTTTTAATGGGAAATATTATCTTTTATTAGACCAGTAGGAAGAACTGGAAAAAACAGTTGCTGTCCTGGGCTGTCTATTCAGAAAAACTCAACAGAGAAAGCCCTTCCTATTTTCTTTACCTACATCTCTTGATCAAATAGCAAGTATCACCTATCCCCACAGATCTTGATTATATACAAAGACTATCACAGCTGTAACTAACCAGGCAATTTATTTCAGGGATATCCAAGCTTTGCCCATATCCAGCCTTTACTCCTGTTTTCAGAGGTGCCTCCCATATGTGCCACAGAGGTGGTTCAAAACAGTATGCCTCATGTTTTGATTTGTAACACAGGAGCTGTACCTCTTTATTAGAGAAAGATGGCATTGTATTGCACTGAAAACCTTTTAATTCTGTACCAGTGATTACAGAACCCCAGAGGCTCTGCAGGGAAAAAGAATGTGCCATGCCTGTAAGAGGGAAATGTCGATATGGACTGAGGCACACAGCACATGGTGAATCAAATAAATGCATGAAGACAGGTGCAAAGAGAAAGAATGACTGTCCTGTACCATCCCAGCCCTGTTACAGGCTTATTTATCTCCAGAGCTCTGCTCTTCTTTCTGAATTTTTAGACATGCTCCTGTTGGCTTCCTGTAATTTGGCTGCTCTCTCCAATTTTTGAATTAAAATTCAGTCTTGAGTTGAAAGTTCAAGGAAATGAGGTTTAACATCACAAAAGAAGAAAACCAGAGCTGAAGTGATCAAGACAGGCTGAAGACAGTGTTCACTGACCCACAAATCCCCTTTTAACTACACAGGCCTTACACTAGTTTGTGTGCACACTGGACAGAGTTTGGTATAAGACATATAAAAGTGGATAATGAAAGAATTGGCATTATAATCCAAAATGATGGCCAAAAAGACAAAACTAGTCACACTTAGTTGAGGTGCAAGCTCCTTGTAGTAGTTTAACTCAAAAAAAAAGGCATTCAATGACACAAGAGTACAATAGTAAAATAAAAAAATTGAAAAGAGAAATTAGGAAGGAATTAGGAATTGTGGGGTTGTAGGGAATGGTGAATTATAGTCTAAAAACAAGAGCTAAAAACTACCAATGAAGGGATTAAGGAAGGCAAGACTTTCTCAGAGCTGGGAGAAGATTATTTCAGTATCTGATTTATAACTAGATTGACAGTCTCTTGTGGAGATTTCATCAGACAAACTGTAATTAAACCATTTCAGTTCCATATTCCAAATCTCCTGGAAATACAGGGTTGGGTTTCTGAAGGCACTGTGTGTGTACATAAGCATGGGTGTATCACATCTAGCAAACTGAGTCCAAGGTCTCGAGGTATCCAGGTAAGGTGGTAAACAGTAAAAATTACTGGCAGAATATACTGTGACAGAAGGTAATGACACTGTATTCATTTGAATGAAATACAAATGGTCTATGTAATTAAAATAAGAGTTAAGATCCCAATGGCTACATTAAATTGTAAAGAGCAGCTAAAATTTTTTAAGAGTTAAACCATGGCAATAGCGGTATCTCGCAGTTTGATCTCCCGTGAGTGTGCAGATGCACGGCCTCAAGTACAGATAAAAGAGGAGATGAAATTCCATAATAAATGTTAAATAGCAGTCATTCAAAAAATTACTGACTCCTTTTATCAGCCCAAGAGTTGACCTTTGTCACCTGTTTTCACCATTTACCGAATGGTCCCACAGTGTGGGACATCAGTGTGGCACATCAGTGAGACCTACGTCAAGAGCTCAGACCACAAACTCACCTGCTCCTGGGTCATCTTCTGCAGCTCTTTCTCCCAAGCTGCCTGGTCATCATCCAGGTGGTAGGAAGCAGGCGGGGTGAGTCCACGCAGAATCAGGGGGTCACGGTCATGGCACAGGGCTATCAGATGTCCAATGTACAACTTCAACTTGCTGCGATTCTGATCAAGTTCTAAGAGGGGCTGAATTATCTGAAATAAGAGAACAGACACGGTGAGGAACAGCCTGAGACCCAAGCAGTGCTGAAGGGAAAGATCAGTGACTAAGTTACAATCTAGTTCAGCTTCATACTGGAAGAAACTTGAACGTCCCCTTTCCCCTGTACTCTTAGCCCTTAACCTACCAACCAGCCAGCTGAGGCAGAAAAAACAAGGACCCTGGGGAAGGAGTGTGGTGATGACAGCTGTGTGATTAGTATGGGAAACAACAATTATATGGGTGAAAAATGAAACGATATTAAGTTGAATGCATTACTGATTATCCAACAGTGCTTTAGTCAACTACTTCAACAAAAAATAATTCTTCTGATAAAGGGTGGCTGTCCACAAGATAGATTTTTAGCTAGTTTTGCCAACAAATATTTAATTGTAAATTAAGTATGCAATAAACATAAGGAGCCCCTGGTGGTCTAGTGGTAAAGGCGCCGCGCTATCACCGCGGAGACCCGGGTTCGATTCCCGGTCAGGGCCACTCCCGGGCAGGTGGGGCTCGTTAGCCCTTAAAGGCAACCCACCTACGTCCTAAGGACCTCGCTGCCACTGTCCAAGCTCGCTTGGCCCCGGCAGATGAACCTTAGGATTAAAGAGTGGGCTCAGTTCCGCGCACACTGTGTCTCACCTAAAAAATCCAATGCGCAGGCTGGAAGGTGTAAAGACCTTCCCCGGATCTTCGCTCGTGAAGACTGGCCCATTATTATGCAATAAACATGGTCCAAACAGAGTAATTTCAAATGATGCCAAGAAACTGGATAGGGACATATCTTCACCAGAAAGTTAAAACGTAATTTTTTATATCTTTTATATAGTTAAGATACAGTCTTCTGTAGTTTTGAAGAGGCAACAACTTTTATAATGCAAGCCAAATTCTATACAATAGACTAAGAAAACTAAAATCAAAGGACTTTATTAAAGCATTTTATTTCATTATACCTTACCCAATCTGAATCTAATCCTTATTCCTCAATGCAATCCAAACTGGAGTCATCCAGTTCCCATAAAAAGTATCTGAAGAACCCTTTTTCATTTTTTTACAAAAACATAGAGCTCACGTGCATAAATACATACTGGGCATCCTTTGCTATGACCTTCCACAAAAATACCGCTTCACATTGTTTCAGATGTTTGTGGGCATATATTCAAAAACACAGTGAAGCAAAACTCTAAGGTTTGCAGCTGATGAAAAATAAAGGAGAACTGGGCTTAGTGCCTCCTTTCCATAAAATGTGGTGCTGAAGCTACAGGCACTGATGTAGGTGGGCAAGGAGAGCTGGAAAGCCTTGCCAAAGTACTGGCAACTTCTCTTTGTGTTCCCAGGCAGAGGCTGCACCTGCTGTTTGTTAGTGGGTCGGGGTTCCAATGGGACACCTCTGACCCTGCTAATGAATAAGGAACGAGATAATCTCTGAGTCAACAGAAACAGGGTGCTGGCATTACTTTCAACAGAGACCCTGTCTCTGTTGCCTTTTAATAAGGCTGTCAGGGCTCACTTATTTTGCTTCCAACACTGTTCTACATGGATTAATTTCTGTAGAGTGTGAGGATCTGAGAGGCATGGCTAAGCAGCTGACTAATGTCAGGCTCCTTGTCCTGCTGAGCTCAGCTGTGCTCAGGAGCCTACACCAGAACATGAGGGTGGCAGTGCCTACCGAAAGTCACAGGGCAGCCATGGTAGAGGAGACAGGCAAGAAACCTGCAGAGAGAGTGAGCTCATGTGCTTTATTAAAAACCCCACTGCTACCTGCAGCCTTGGGGCAACCTCTGTTTGCAGATACAAACACACACACATCAAAATAATGGTTTGTTATATGAGGATGGGATGAGTGGGCAGCAAGGTGGATTGAGAACTGGCTGAACAGCAGATGACAAAGGGCTGTGATCAGTGGCACAAGGTCTAGTTGGAGGCCTGCCACTAGGGGTTTCCCCCAAGGCTCAGTACTAGTCCCAGCATCTAAACTATTCATCAGTGATTTGGTTGAAGGGGCAGATGCCTCCTCAGCAAGTTCACTGATGACACAAAGCTGGGAGAAGTGGCTGATACTCCAGAGTGCTGTGCAGCCCTTCAGCAGGACCTCAACAGGCTGGAGAGGTGGGCAGAGAAGAACTGTCTAAAATTCAGCAAAGGCAAAGGCAGGGTCCTGCACCTGGGGAAGAGTAACCCCATTCACCAATACAGGCTGGGGGCTGACCTGCTAGAAAGCAGCACCTGGGGGTCCTCGTGGACAAAAAGCTCTCCATGAGCCAGCAGTGTGTCCTTGTGGCCAAGAAGATCAAGGGTATCCTGGGTGCATTAGGAAGAACATTGCCAGCAGGTCGAGGGAGGTGATCCTGCCCCTCTACTCACCCCTGGTGAGGCCACATCTGGAGTGGTCTGTCCAGTTCTGGCTCCTCAGTACAAGAGACACATGGAGCTCCTGGAGTGGGTTCAGCAGAGAGCTACAAAACTGATTAAGGGACTGGAGCATCCCTCTTACAAGGAAAGGCTGAGGGAGCTGGGCCTGTTCAGTCTTCAGAAGAGATGACTGAGAGGGGACCTCATCAATGCCTATGAGTATCTGAAGGGAGGGTGTCAAGATGCTGGATCCAGGCTCTGCTTGGTGGTGCCAAGTAATAGGACAAGAGGCAACGGGCAAAAAGTGATGCACAGGAAGTTCCACCTAAACAGGAGGAAGAACTTCCTTACTGTGCAAGTGACAGTGCACTGAAACAGATTGCCCAGAGAGGCTGTGAAGTCTCCCTCAAGTGGATATTCCAGAACCTGGGCCATGTGCTCTGGGATGACCCTGCTTGAGCAGGGAGGTTGGACCAGATGACCCACTGCGGTCCCTTCCAGCTTGACCCATTCTGTGATTCAGTGACTGCAAACTGCAGCAGGGCAGAATACTCTGCTCTCCTGTACACAGGGCAATTGAAAGGGATATCCTGGTTATTTACTGAGTTCGCACTATTTACCCCAAATTCTTACGTGTTATCAAGATTATGATCTGAAAGTGTACTGCCTGTGCAGGTGAAAACCCCCGATGCTTCTAATTTAACTAATATCTTTACTATCTTTCTTACTATTTGGTTTGCCCACAGAAGGTAGGGTGATGGAATATCACATCTTAAAAAACAGTTTTGTATAGAATGTAAAAATGCAGTAGTCAACATTTAATAACTAGCTGTCCAATCAACGTAGGACCTGCTTTGTACTCTTTTTAGATACCACAATCTACTGAATATCCATCAGATGTGCAGATTCCAGTCTGAAAAGAATCCGACCTGCCAACCTTTCTGGCCATTCTTTGTGAACAGAAACCCTCGCTGATAAAAAGAAGGCAGAGCTACCTAGCAAGTAAGGATGGAAGACTTCCACATAACAGTTGCATTTGATTGCTCAGGAATAAATCCCCTTCGAAGCACATTCCTCCTGTACCCTTCCCCCTTACCTCACGCTGGAAACAGGCCAAATGAGGCGTGTGAAAGTTCTTAACTAGCAGCCTTCCCAAAGCTGTTCACAGAGCAATCATTCCTCTCACTTGGGATCCATTAAACACTGCCAGTCGAGTAGGAAGTGCCCTTATATCTGCGTTCCTGCCCTATCTAACATGAACTAGCCACTTAGCAAGAGGCACTGTGCTTCCCACACAGCAGAGCTGCCACTGCCTTATCTCAAGAGGGTGTAAGAGCATTTGCTAAGTGGAAAAGCAGGGCAGTGCTGGATTCGTAAACCACATCGCGTTCTCATGAGCTGCTCAGAGCTGTAGAGCTTTCTAGGAAAGTGACGGGTAAACAGACCAAACCCAGGAATATCTTCTAAAGCAGCCCTGATTCATTAATTGCCCTGATAGGTTTAGGCCATCCTCATCAATGCATGGAATGAAGTCTGCTTAATGTACCCTCAGGTTCAGAATATTGCTAATGGCCAGCTAAGTCTGACAGTCTGTTTCACTAAAAAAGGCAATCGCTACAACTCCGAGGGAGAAACATGAAATGCCTGAGAAACCTCTGATACAAACCCAAGCCATCTCAGCCAACTAATAAAGATATTTGGGAACATACTCCAAAGCACATTCAACTTGGAAATAACACACTCTTTTTTTTTTTTTCCTAAATTTTGTACAATTTTTTTTTTTTTTTAATCTTTGAGCATGAGAAACGGGAATCTAACTGTAGTTTTACAACTCACTGGGGCAAAAAAGCTTGAGAATGAAATTATAATGTTTCTTCAGTGGTAGACCTGCTGTTGTTGTACAGTGGTCAGCTGAAAGACGGGTAACTGTATTTAAAAGTTTTTTTAAGCTAAGTCTCTGCATTTAAATATGTGTATACACACTCTATAGATAAGAAAAGGTACTTGTAACTGAACGCAGTTGGAGAGACCTATCTAAATGTTAGGTCACTTTGACTGTGAAAGATGAATACACCTCTCTCCCATACAGAGACTGCGGTGTCCAAAAGTTTGTCTGAGCAGTGTCTACTGTAAATATACAAAACCATGCAGGTGGTTACATGAAAAAGGAAACCAGTGAAAGGGGTGGTATAAGTGCAGCAGTGTCGATAGGACAGAAACGCAATACTGACAATCCATAATTGTCTGCAGAATAAAGTATGGGTTTAATCAATGTGTAGTTCATCACAACCACCAGGTTTAAATTATGGGTTCTCCAGGCAGAAGGGTTAATGACCTGCTCACCTTTCTCCCTGCTGACATCCCCTTCTTCTCCGAAGGAAGCAACCACTTTTCTTTTGCAGAACCAAGTAATCAACTTTACTAATTCCAGAGAATACCTTCTAAATTTCTACTTAACAAAAAATCTGTAGCTCCAATTTTGAATAAAGTCTTACAGACACCTCTAAAAGCTTGTCTGTTTTCACAACTACATCAGCTGACCTTGTAAAAGTTATTTCCTTACACAGACTGCCTTAGTCATCAGTCATGCATAGATGTGCATGTTGATTGTCGATCAATACCAATAATCTTTTTCTTACAGATA